ACGTCGATAAAAACATCGTTACTAAACATGAACCTCAGCATCGACGTTATTGGTACCTCGGCCAAAAACCATCGATGTTTTAAATGTGGTTTAAGAACCTCTAAGATTACATTCTGAAGCAACAATTTTTAATTTCACTCTGGGAATGACCTTTACTTTATAATTAATATTTAACAGAAAAAGGTAAGTAATATGAACAATAAACGGTCGATGAAGATAGTACATACAGAGTTCATTCGGTTTGAAAATTAACAAGCTGGTACTATCAGTTATTCTTAATTTCAACTTTCAAAACATTGTATTATGGAAAGTTTTCATTAACAAACACAACATTGAAAACATAAAACATCTAACACAAAACATCGATGTTAAAAAACATCGGCTTTAATATATCAATCATACATTTAACATATCGATGTTTTGAAAATATCGATATCGATGTCGCATCCCTAGGTGCAAATTGACATGCCGGGAATTGTTCCGTTCTTGAGAGTTTGTTTTATTTCTCTGAAAACGTTGTAATCTGTTCCTGCTGGGGACACAGTCTTTCATTTAAGATTTCCACACACTGGAATGTTTAAATCGAAAAAAAACAAATGAAGGGAAATGGTACAGGAAACTTTCCCGGGAGCATTGTTTGGATTTGTGAGATTGATTGACAAAGTGGCGGTGTTGATGCTGCGAAATATTCGTTAGATACGTTGGGTGAGCAATTCGCAGGAACTGCGAGGAACATCGATAATTTTTCATCAGACAAATGTGTTCTGGAAAAGAAACGACAGACAATTGACAAAGATTTACTTTGAAGAAAGAATCAACGAGTATTGAAGAGATTGTCATGGTTACCTATCAGACGAAATTAAACGTTTCGTTACGAATTGTGTCGTTTTTTCCTGCATGTTACACTGCAAAAAGGTTGCCTGGCACACTCTAAATCGAATTTTCAATGCGTCCAAAACGTTTTTACTGAGCTTTCTGCATGTCGCCTCTGATGACAATGCGAGCTCGTGGCGTCTAAAATGGAAATAGCTGGATGCAAAGAACTTTGACAATGTACACATCTGTCCACATGTTTTCGCATGAGGAGCTGCGATCTTATGTGATGCTCCGAACTAATAGGAAGCAGTTGACAATCTACGTGAAGGAACTATTACGAAAGAAGTGAGTATTTGGTCAACTGGAAAGAAATTTGCGCGGCTTTTTGATTAAACTAGGCTATCTCCTAGAAAGGAAGTTTAAAATGTATGATTTTTTCCTCTGAAATGAGCATGAGCAGGAGCAAGGAGCAGTGAAACTGCATTATTTGAAACGTGGCGCCAAATTTGAAACAATTTGGCCGTCAATGTGCTAACAGACGGTGTTCTTGACTCGCTGGCTGGCGCGATCCGGCACACCGAGCTACGCATCAAGCTAAGTGGGCTTCCAGGAGTTTTCCCTTACAGGTGTCTCTCACCAGCCTAGCGCTGCCCTAGCCGGAACAATCTCTAAGCTCCTTAGTAGTCTCCCTACACATGCGGCAGTGCAGTACATGTGAGTGTAAGGAAAGGGAGTGAGGAAAGAACAAGGAAAACCCACATTTGCCGTTTAATTTTCAGAAATTACAGCGTAAATAAATACGGCCTCCTCTTTATTCGCCAGTGTTTCCCTTCCTGGAGATTTGAATGCCCTGAAGGAAATTGTAAATTCGCACCCTGGGACCCAGGAATCTCGCATTGTTTGGGAAAGGGAGCGGTATCCTCCAGACGAACAAAGTGAATCAAACAGCTTGGCATTGCAGAATATTTTGGGTTATGCTGACTCGCAAGCTGCCGCAGGGATAAATTTTACATTAAGTCTATTATTTAGAACGACGAAAGTTATTATTTTTTCATTTATCACGTAGTAACACAATACCAACCTTCAATATTTTACTTTCCTCTATGCATACGTATATACTGGGTAACATACGTAGTATAGGGAAATTTATGTAATCCTGTGGAAAATAAATTTCGAGATTTCAATGTTTTGGGGTCCCCTGATACCGAAAAAGCCATGATACCTTGTAATATATTGTAAATGTTTCAAACTTTTTTCATCATTTGGCAAATTCGACGATGAAGCCAAATTACTCTGTAACCAATCCTAGAATTTCATTCCCTGCGAAATTAAAATGTATGAAAGTAACGTACTATATTAGATAATACAGTGATATTATATATATATATATATAT